TGTCGACACTATTCCTTCATGCCATGTGTGCTGTCGACACTATTCCTTCATGCCATGTGTGCTGTCGACACTATTCCTTCATGCCATGTGTGCTGTCGACACTATTCCTTCATGCCATGTGTGCTGTCGACACTATTCCTTCATGCCATGTGTGCTGTCGACACTATTCCTTCATGCCATGTGTGCTGTCGACACTATTCCTTCATGCCATGTGTGCTGTCGACACTATTCCTTCATGCCATGTGTGCTGTCGACACTATTCCTTCATGCCATGTGTGCTGTCGACACTATTCCTTCATGCCATGTGTGCTGTCGACACTATTCCTTCATGCCATGTGTGCTGTCGACACTATTCCTTCATGCCATGTGTGCTGTCGACACTATTCCTTCATGCCATGTGTGCTGTCGACACTATTCCTTCATGCCATGTGTGCTGTCGACACTATTTCTTCATGCCATGTGTGCTGTCGACACTATTCCTTCATGCCATGTGTGCTGTCGACACTATTCCTTCATGCCATGTGTGCTGTCGACACTATTCCTTCATGCCATGTGTGCTGTCGACACTATTCCTTCATGCCATGTGTGCTGTCGACACGGTTGCTGGTCGGTCGCGCCGTGCCGGCCGGTGGGCTTGTGCGGGCGGACGGGGGACGGCGCGGCGGGATCCGCGGGCGCGGAAGCAGAGAAAATGGGGGGATTGGCGGATGCGGAAAAAGGGGACGATGCAGGGAAGGCTGCGGAAGGCGGAGACGGGTTGACTGCCATGGCGATAAATTCCCAAAATTCGGAGTGCTGAGAGCTTGCTGATCGGCGTTCGCCCGAGCTCGTCCGCGTGCGGTTCTAAAGCATGTAATTCTAGCGAGAACACCTGTGTCTTATTGCGTTACGGGGGGGAATGATGTGCTTCGATGGCTGCACGTGGCATATTCAGCAACATTGAGGTTGTCACTCGGGAATTGAGTCAGAGTGAAGCAACTGAATGGCGTATGGTGACAGCAAATCGCGTCACGGCAATATCTAGGTGGATCGGTCTACACAAGTGGGGACAGGCAAACGATCAGACAGCAAATCGTTCAAAGGCGTATATCAGACAAGCCGGCTGATCCAAGTCAATCGGCTTCAGCTAACGAGATTAATGAACGAAGTAGAGCGGCAGGATGAGTCGCTAGCATGACAGCTCGCTATCGTTTGGAGTTGAAATGGAGGGATGACTCTGGACTTCGAGGGAGGAGGGAGGAACTTCGAGCTTCTCGAATATGGTCTGGACTCTCGAGTGTTCTGCAGCAGATGTGTGTGACCGTGTCAGTATTTTTCCAATGATTCGGGAAATGCCGATCGGGGTGCCAACATCATTTACCGAAAGTTCGGGTGCGAAACTAAGGTCAGGGTGCTGAGCTCTGGTTTTAGATAAACGTCAAGGGCTCAAGGTGATCTTGAACACTGACCAAGAGGCTAACGAATAGTGTAATGGAGGTTAACTCATTGGATACCAGAACCTATTTCGCGGATCCTCATGATATCTCAACGGACAAGCGAGTCCGTCGACCGACCGTCGACCTCGTTTCGTTGAGACATTCCCCAAGGTTATGCTAAGCATGTCTAAATGCGAGGCTTGAAAGCTAAATTGATATATGTAGAAGGTTTGACATGAGACAGAAATGCGCCCTCAGCAATTTGAGCCACCAGACGGAAATCCATTAGGGCGGGTCCAACAATGCATGTATTCGCAAAAAACCCACCCAACCATCTGTTGTTTTAAATAGACCGCTCTAGATTAAGCCTAAAACCTTTCCAACCGCATTTGGACAGACTCTTTGGACCCGCCCTTAGTCCCCTTCACATATGGTTTTATGACGCGGGATACCCAAGGTATGGTAGCCTTTCTCCCGTGATCACGATGGTCCTCGTTTCACTCGCCAGGAATGAAGTATATCCTGGCATGTTAGAAGCGTAAGGTAGGTTCCTCATAGCCGTAGCAAACGGCTGGTAACCACGAAGGTCCTCATTTTACTCGTAAGGTAGGTTCCTCGTAGCCCTCGGGCGCGGCTGAGCGCGCTCTGCCATTTCAAGCAACGGAAACTGCTGCTTCGCCCTCTTCACACAACCCGATTTCCTTCCTCGGGAACTACGGGATTTTGAAATTCTCCTCGTTACAGAAGCGTCACCTCCGTTTCTGTCATGACTCGCACGTTCATCCGCACCTTTCACCCGCGCAATAAATTAGTAGTCTATCGTTACTAAGGACGTTTTTACCGATGAGGTGCTCCTTCCGCGCTCTGCTCGAGGTTTGAGACATTGGCTGACTCGCGGATTAACCCGTAGACTATTACTGAGGAAGAACCGTATTTAGACGTTGTACGGACATTCCCCAGCGGCTTTTAGCTGTCTCCTCGCTCTCTCCTGTGGTTTTAAGACGGATGTCATGGCTCACAAATTGATCCGTAGATCGTTACTAGGGAAGGCAGTCCCGCATCCACTTGCTGCTTTCACCCCGTCTCTCTCTCCGAGGAGCAGTCCCCCTCCTCTAGTTCTGAGACGTAGATTAATATGGAGATTTATTTCGGCGCTCCCTCCGCCTCTTTTCGTCCTCCTCACCCTCTCCCTCGCCGTTTTTGCACAGCAGGTCAGAACAATTTCCCGTTAATGGCATCCCATATTAATAGTTCCGTGTTCGTCGCGAGCTCGATTGCTCAGTTCCTCACCGGCGCATTCACACTCTTGTTATCCAGAGAGCATTCCGCCATACCACAGTACGCATGCGTTTCGCCTTCCTCATATTCACATCAATTTCCACCAATCGTTCAACGCTTTATTATCAGAATCTTCTGCCTCTGCAAATCCCATTTCGCACCAACCATTTGCAATCATAAAATATTATTGTTTCATCTTCTGACCACCCTGTAACCATCTGCAGCCGTCCACAGACATCTCAGCTCCACCATCCGATCCGTCCCTCGCTCAACTCGACTCAGAACTCCCGGGTGTGACTATAGGGAGAGTGATTCAACTGGAACGAGAGCTCGCTGCAGAATCTGCTGCTTCTCCTGCCCTGCCTCCTCCCCCCTTAGCCTCGTCAGCATCATCCAAACCTCCTTCCCAACCATCATCAGCCTTGACAGTCTCATCCGAACCAGCTGCCGAACCAAGTTTGTCAAGCCCAGGAACGGCTGAGGATGGGACTCTACAGCAACATGATGGTAGCAATACGAGCAGCAGCAGCAGCCAATCACCAGGCTCCAGCTCGGATCTTAGCATACGAGTTGATTGGTGTGTGCTCCTGCTCTCCCACCTACCCCATTCCCAACTTCCCTCCTCACCCTCTTTCTTCTCTTCCCTCCTCACCCCACCCTTTCTTCTCTTCCCTCCACTACCCCATTCTCTATTTCCCTCCTCAACACCTTCTTTTTGCACTTCCCTCCTCGACCCCTTATCTTCTTCCCTCCTCACTGCCCTCCCTTGAGCATCCTCAGTCCCTTAGCTTCCTGAGTATTCATTTCATCTTCGTATTCCCTTCACCACTCCATTCGCCTCGTCCCATTCGTACGAGCGAGATCCCAACTGCATTCCAAGCTGTTCTCCTCTTTCCCATTCTCTTCCCATTTACCTGCCAGGGGTTGCTAGGGGTCACCAGGGGTCGCCAGGGGTCGCCAGGGGTCGCCAGGGGTCGCCAGGGTCGCCAGGGGTCGCCAGGTATCAAAGGAGCAGCGGCTGTTGGAGCTCACAAGAGCAAGGCAGGAGGGGCGGTGCGCGTACTTTCCCCTGACCAAGTATTGAGCTCTCATTTCGTGACACCCCTCCCCATTCATTCCCCATCTACCTGCCAGGGGTCGCCAGGTATCAAAGGAGCAGCGGCTGTCGGAGATTCAGAGAGCAAGGCAGGAGGGGCGGTGCTCGAACAAGGGGGGTCTGTTCAACGCGTGGCCCTGGGAGGGGGGCTTCTCTGAAGGCTTTCTAGCGTGGGAGCCGCAGCCTGACAAATACATTCTCATGGACTGCCAACGGAACCAGGTATGTGTGAGAGGCGGGAGTGCAACAGCGCAAGGGAGCAGGGGCAGTGCTCGAACAAGGGGGGTTTGTTCAATTCGTAGCCCTGGGAGGGGGGGTTCTTGGATGGCTTTCTAGTGTGGGAGCCGCAGCCTGACAAGTACATTCTCATGGACTGCCAACGGAACGTGTGAGAGGCGGGAGTGCAACAGCGCAAGGGAGCAGGGGCAGTGCTCGAACAAGGGGGGTTTGTTCAATTCGTAGCCCTGGGAGGGGGGGTTCTTGGGTGGCTTTCTAGTGTGGGAGCCGCAGCCTGACAAGTACATTCTCATGGACTGCCAACGGAACCAGGTATGTGTGAGATGCTAGAGACGACTTTTGAGGCGCCTCAAAAGCAGCCTGACAAGTACATTGTCATGGACTGCCAACGGAACCAGGTATGTGTGAGATGCTAGAGACGACTTTTGAGGCGCCTCAAAAGCAGCCTGACAAGTACATTGTCATGGACTGCCAACGGAACCAGGTATGTGTGAGATGCTAGAGACGACTTTTGAGGCGCCTCAAAAGCAGCCTGACAAGTACATTGTCATGGACTGCCAACGGAACCAGGTATGTGTGAGATGCTAGAGACGACTTTTGAGGCGCCTCAAAAGCAGCCTGACAAGTACATTGTCATGGACTGCCAACGGAACCAGGTATGTGTGAGATGCTAGAGACGACTTTTGAGGCGCCTCAAAAGCAGCCTGACAAGTACATTGTCATGGACTGCCAACGGAACCAGGTATGTGTGAGATGCTAGAGACGACTTTTGAGGCGCCTCAAAAGCAGCCTGACAAGTACATTGTCATGGACTGCCAACGGAACCAGGTATGTGTGAGATGCTAGAGACGACTTTTGAGGCGCCTCAAAAGCAGCCTGACAAGTACATTGTCATGGACTGCCAACGGAACCAGGTATGTGTGAGATGCTAGAGAGCAAGAGGAAGCAAGGTAGAGGGGTGACGTTCGGCCAGGATGGGGCTGTTCACCTCGTGGTCCTGGGAGGGTGGGTTTGCTGATGGGTTCCTGGCGTGGGCGCCTCAGCCGGACAAATACTTTCTCATGGACTGCCAACGGAACCAGGTGCGTGTGAGTTGAGGGAAATGACAGGCTAGGGTTATGGTGCAAAGGGAGAGAGGGAGAGGCAGCAGGGGAGGTGTTTGGCCAGGATGGGCTGTTCAACGCGTGGCCCTGGGAAGGTGTCACGTGTAGCGAGGTTGTTTTTGAGACGTCTCAAAAACAACCTCGCTACACGCGGTGTTTTTTATCAGTTTCTGGCGTGGGAGCCGCAGCCTGACAAGTACATTCTCATAGACTGTCAGCGGAACCAGGTGGGTGTGAGAGGCTTGAAAGAGCAGGAGAGCAAGGAAGAGGGGCCAAGATGGGGCTGTTCAACTTGTCGTCTTGGAAGGGGGGTCCTCCCAACAACATGCAGAGGTTGTTGGGACGAATTCAATCCCATCACTTCATGGGGGCTAGTGTATCACTTCAGAACTCTCAAAAAACAGATTTCGCTTAACATTCCCCTCCCTCAATTTTTAGTGTGCTGACGTTTGCCAAAAATGTTATGTAACCTTTTGGTAGAAGCAAAGTTAAAGTCAGGGATACACCAGTGCTCGTGAAGTGATGAGATTGAATTCGTCCCAACAACCTCTGCATGTTGACTTGCATTGTAAGCCAGCTAGCCAGCCACAAAGAACGAGCCGTACTGGATTTTAGTTCTCGGAATCGGGTGAGTACGAGGGGCGGGTGAGAGAAAGGTGTCCAACCGCATTCGAAGGGATTGTTGGGTTCCAACCGCTGCTTCCGCAACCACCTAACAAAGGCTGGGGCTCTTGAGCGCACGCTCGTGGATTTGGCTTCAAGCACACCCAGCCCCGTTGCGCCCTCTCTCCCCACTCCCTCCTCCTTCGAGGTGCCTCAAAAATGATTTTTGAGGCGCCTAAAAAATGGCTTCAAGCACACCCAGCCCTGTTGCGCCCTCTCCCCCCTCTCCCTCCTCCTTCCACCCCATCCCTTATCAGGTGTCCAACCACATTCTCTGCATCCGCAATTATCTAATCGTGGCATAGGTTCTCAATTGCACAGTTGTTGATCTACCTACAACCACAACCAGCCAATGCTCCCTGCTCCCTGCTCCCTGCTCCCTGCTCCCTGCTCCCTGCTCCCTGCTCCCTGCTCCCTGCTCCCTGCTCCCTGCTCCCTGCTCCCTGCTCCCTGCTCCCTGCTCCCTGCTCCCTGCTCCCTGCTCCCTGCTCCCTGCTCCCTGCTCCCTGCTCCCTGCTCCCTGCTCCCCTCTTCTTCCCCTCACCCCTCCCCTCCCCCAACCCCCCTTTACAGGTGTCAAACCGTATTCGCTGCATCCGCGATTATCTAATCGTCGCGGGGGTGCTCAACCGCACGCTCGTTGATCTGGCTCCATGCACACCCAGTCCCCTGACCCCTTCCCCCCCCCTCCCTACCTCTCCCTCCTATCAGGTGTCCAACCGCATTCGCTGCATCCGCAATTATCTAATCGTCGCAGGGGTGCTCAACCGCACGCTGGTGGCGCCGTTTCGCCCGTCGGAGGTGAACGGCAGCTACGACCGGCACGTGTTCTTCGATCTCACCCACATGCGCCGCTGCTACGGGCCCCGCACCGTCATCACTCTCGATGAGCTGCTGGCAGAGAGAAGAGCAGCGAGGAATGGCAATGGCAGCAGTGGCAATGGCAGCAGTGGCAATGGCAGCAGCAACAACAACAGCAGCAGCAGCAGCACAGCAGCAGATATAATAATAACCCAGGTGGTGTGCCCATTCACCAACTGTTACTTCCAACCAGGTTGGGGCCTCCCTACAGTCCTCCCCACACTCGGAGGCGTCTCATACGAGGCTTTAACTTTCACGGATGCCAACCTGCCTCCGGATCACTCTATCAACATCACAGATATCAAGAGAATCGGGGATTTGATCTTCCCGTCGGCTGATGTGTTTGTAATGGGGGATTTGGGAGCTTCGCTGTTTGATGAAACTTTTCACAGGCAGATTGACGTGCCGTTTTTTCGGCGCCCGGGCTGCCCGAATAAACTGGCGATTCAGCCCCACCCGGCGATCTTCGAAGCTGCAAGTCGGTTTGTAACGGATGTGCTTGTAAAGGGGATGAATGGCAGTGCAGCAGAGAGCAGCAGGGAAGGGGAGGAGCAGGGCAACAACACAGCAGCTGAGGACACGCTACCATCAGCCATTGCTGCTGCCAGTGGGGGTACCACCACTACTAGTACCAGCGGTAGCAGTGGTAAGAATGCCGGTCAGCTTCGCTACATGGCGATTCACTGGCGGCGAAAGGACCTGGTTACCAGCTTTCAGGACTCAGGCTCTCATCTCACAATCAACCGCACTGCCAGATGCATTGCCGACCGCATGGCAAAATCCGGCAATCTCAGCACCGTTTTCCTAGCCACTGACGCCGAACCTGCTGAGGTGGCGGAATTGACCGGAGCGGTTTTGTCCCACCGCCCGGACCTGCGGCTGATGCAGCTTCCGCCGAACCTGGACGCGCAGGCTTGGGCGCAGGTGCTGCTGCCGCACCGGTTTGAGCATCCGGGGGTGGTGCGGGTGACGTTAGACAAGGCAGTGTGTACTCTCGCAGACGTGTTTCTTGGGACGGCAGCTTCGTCGTTCACGGAGGACATTCAGCGAATCCGGACGGGGTTGAGAGTGGCGCATTGTGAAGACCAGATGTTGTGCGAAGACGAGCTATACGGATGTTTTGGACTTACGGAACCGTACCACTGTACGGCCGCTAGGAGATTCATTGTCAGTCATGGAGTACAGTACTTAGAATTAGCTGGGCTGGGAAGGAGGCGTCTTTCCATTACGACCATTTCTGACATGAATGGATTGGTGAGCCACAGGTATGATGGGTTCCCTACCACCTTACTACCATGCCCTGAATGCTGATTTATGCCAGACTTCCGTACTAGATTGGTCACAAAACTGTCAGGAATCGTATTTGATTGCATAACAACCAATCAAGACACAGTAACCGCAATAACATGCAAGTGCTTCTATCTACAGCACTCCATTCTTCCAGGAACTGTAAAGGAACTGAGTACAGTGTCAGGCTGTGCTAAAACAAAAATAAGGCATTATATTCTCACACCAGCACATTTATGTCGGCAAGAATATGAGAAGGTTCTTAAAGAGTGTAGGTAGATGTGTTACATTATTTGAAGGGTACACTCATTGAAGGCTTGCCTTGCCATAGCCTCCAGCTGGCACCACACCACATCCCCGGTAAACAAACAGAAACGAGGTCTATGCCACGTGATTTATCTCCCCTGGCAGAGTTGTTTATGGCGACGCACTGATTCGCCACAGCTGCCAGCATCCTATCCCACCAGTGTCAAGTCCACCAAAGTCAATGTGAGTCAATCAGCAGTCAAGAGCGCCCCTGCCACAGCTGCCTGCATCCTATCCCACCAGTGTCAAGTCCACCAAAGTCAACGCGAGTCAATCAGCAGTCAAGAGCGCCCCTGCCACAGCTGCCAGCATCCCATCCCACCAGTGCCAAGTCCACCCAAGTCAACGCGGGTCAATCAGCAGTCAAGAGCGCCCCTGCCACAGCTGCCTGCATCCCATCCCACCAGTGCCAAGTCCACCAAAGTCAACGTGGGTCAATTAGCAGCCAGGAGGCACACCCATGAGTGCCCCTGTCACGCCACTTGCCTCCACCCGGTCCTCCTCGTTCCTGGTTTACGAGGGTGATGAGGAGTCCTCATCTCCTGGCAGGGTTGTTTCGGGCGGCGCACTGCTTCGTCACGGCTTCCAGCTTCTCACCCCACCAGTGCCAAGTCAACCCAAGTCAACCGAAGTCAATCAGCAAGAGGCACGGACATCAGAGCGTGAGCACGTCACTCATCTCCGGCCGATCCTCCTTGTGCCGGGCCGAACACTGCTTCGCCACAGCTGCTGGCTTCGGGTCAACCCAAGTCAACCTGGGTCAACCCAAGTCAACCTGGGTCAACCCAAGTCAACGTGGGTCAACCCAAGTCAACCTGGGTCAACCCAAGTCAACGCAAGTCAGTCAGCAAGTCAATCAGCAAGAGGCACGGACATCAAAGCTTGTGCCACGTCACTCATCTCCGGCCGGTCCTCCTTGTGCCGGGCGGAGCACTGCTTCGCCACGGCTGCCAGCATCTTGGCGCCTCGGCGGGAGAACCTGCCCTGCAGGTTCGGGTCGATCCAAGCCTCAGGTTCGGTGATGTTGGGGTACAGGTGCGGCCCCATCCAAACCACAAGCTTCACATTGCCTTCCTTGGACACAGCATCCCGGCCTGTTAGCATCTGTGGCGGGTGTGGGGACAAAAAGGGAGGAGGAAATGCTCAGTGATGTTGGGATACATGTGTGGCCCCATCCACGTTATTGAATTCACGTTGCCCTCCTTGGACACAGCATCGCGGCCTGTTAGCATCTGCGTGGTGGGGGGGTGTGGGACAGATGCGGAGGAGGGAAGCCTCAGGGTTGGTGATGTTGGGTACAGGTGCGGCCCCGTCCATGCCACGAGCTTAACGTTTCCCTCCTTGGAAACAGCGTCCCGACCTGAAACAGCATCTGTTGCAGGGTGTTTTTGAGAATTCTCAAAGACACCCTGAAACAGCGAGCGTCCCGACCTATTAGCATCTGTGGGAAAGATCAGGAGCAGGGGAAAGGAGCTTCAGGAAGAGGGATTCTGAGGTGCTTCAAGGGCACTCAGGCAACCCCGTCCCTCAAGCACCCCGTCTCCATGTATTCGGTTGAAGGTTCCCCATGGTGCTCATCACACCCATCACACACACACATGCTTATGCACGCACCCATTGCCCCACCCCATCCCATCCATACATGTAGCAAGATGACCCCGAGGGAATAAACGTCGCTCTTATTGTGTAGACACCCCGACTCCATGTATTCAGGGTCAAGGTACCCCATGGTGGTTGCCCATCACACACACACACACACACACACACACACACACACACACACACACACACACACACACACATGTGACATGCTTGCTACACGCATCAGCCAGTGCACAACATACCTGGAACAGGATGATCCCAAGGGAATAACGTTGCTCTTCTTGTCCCGCAAGCACCCACTCTCCATGTATTCAGGGTCCAGGTACCCCATGGTTGTGTGCCCATCACACGGGTCGAGATGTAACTCACACTGCTTGCTGCTCTATGCTGCACGCACCCTCTCTAGAGAGCCGGAAATGCCTGTAGCAAGATGACCCCGAGGGAATAAACATCGCTCTTATCCCTCAGACACCCCGTCTCCATGTATTCAGGGTCCAGATAACCCATGGTGCCCATCACTCTCGTTGAGATGTGGCTCACACTGCTCTGTGCTGCACACACCCATGCATGCCCACCACCCCCCAATGCACCCGCCAGCCACACCATACCTGCAACAATATGACTCCAAGCGAGTAAACATCGCTTGTCCCGCAAGCACCCCGTCTCCATGTATTCAGGGTCCAGGTACCCCATGGTGCCCATCACACACACACACATGTGACATGCTTGCTACACGGATACAACACCAAAAAAACCGAGTCCGCACCTGAAGCAGGATAGCGCCAAGTGAGTAAATGTCGCTCTTATCCCGCAAACACCCTGTCTCCATGTAATCATGGTCCAGGTACCCCATGGTGCCCATCCCACACGTTGATTGGGATGCGTGTTGCACGGATACAACAGCGTACGAGTTGCTTACCTGTAACAAGATGACCCCGAGGGAATACACGTCGCTCTTATCCCTCAGACACCCCGTCTCCATGTATTCAGGGTCCAGATAACCCATGGTGCCCATCACTCGAGTTGAGATGTGGCTCACACTGCTCTGTGCTGCACGCTGCAAGACATACCCGTAGCAAGATGACCCCGAGAGAGTAAACATCGCTCTTGTCTCGCAAGCACCCCGTCTCCATGTATTCAGGGTCCAGATAACCCATGGTTCCCATCACACGCACCCTCTTATGCTCGCACCATCTACGGGACACACATACATACCTGTAACAGGATGACCCCGAGGGAATAAACGTCGCTCTTATCCCGCAGACACCCTGTCTCCATGTAATCAGGGTCCAGGTACCCCATGGTGCCCATCACTCACTCCCTCATGCATGCACCCTCTAAACGGGACACACATACATACCTGAAGCAGGATGACTCCGAGGGAATACACATCGCTCTTGTCTCGCAAGCACCCCGTCTCCATGTATTCAGGGTCCAGATAACCCATGGTGCCCATCACTCGAGTTGAGATGTGGCTCACACTGCTGGCCGACTGCTTCGCCATCCCGAAATCCGTGATGCGTGCTTGCATCTCCTGTGTTAAGTGGTATGGAGAGAAGGGAACAGGGGAGGACCAGGGGGTGCAAGGGAAGAGGGTGGAGAGCATAGCAGTGAGTGCCACCAGCCTCTCGTGTTGAGATTTAAATCTCGCTCACGCTGCTGGCCGAGTTGATTTTTGAGTCGAGTCAAAAATCAACAGCGGGTGCAAGGGAAGAGGGTGGAGAGCAGAGCAGTGAGTGCCACCAGCCTCTCGTGTTGAGATGAGGCTCACACTGCTCGCCGAACTCCAGTTTTGAGACGTCTCAAAACTTGGCTCACACTGCTCGCCGAACTCCGTGATCCATGATTGCATGTCATTTCCTGGGGCAGGTGGTGGAGACGTCTCAAAACTTGCATGTCATTTCCTGGGGCAGGTGGTGGAAAAGGGGAAGATGGGATGGGGGGAGCGATGGGCAGGGAGGAGGAGCACATAGCCAAGGTGGGTGGGAGGTGTGTGCTTCACTGCCTGTGTGTGTGGCTCATGCTGCTGGCCGGCTTTCTCCTTGCGCTGCTACCTCCCTGCGCTGCTACCTCCCTGCCATAGTTCATTGATTTCATCTCAACACAAGTGCATAGAGTGAAGTGAGTGGAGTGAACATACCTACTACCTGCTACAATACCACACCATACCGCCTCAAATCCCTACCTTCTGCACCAAGATGTCGGACGGTTTTCACGTCCCTGTTCTCCTTCAGTGAATGACCTTGTTCCCTTGCAGATGCAACAGAACAGCCGCTGCGCTGCACCCTGCACTGCTACCTGTGCTGTTACCTCCGTACATTCGAAACGCCACGAATCCCTACCTTAACCACGATAAAGTTGGACGGTGTTCAGGTCCCAGTTCTCCTTCAGTGAACAACTTTGTTCCGGTGCAGGTGCAACATCCCCACTGTGCTGCTCCCGCTGCCACAGCCACAGCCCAATCAGTGCCGCACCTTGTCCCACTGTGCTGTAGCCCCTGCATGGCTCCTCGGACCCTACCTGATCCAATAAGATGTTGGAGGGCTTTAAGTCGCGGTGAATCACTTTGTTCTCGTGCAGGTGCAGCAGCCCCTGCGCTGCTCCTTGCGCTATCCGCACGCGTGTGGGCCAGTCAATAATATCGACCTCCCGCCCTGCATGCACACATGTGCGGCGATGGGAGGACGAAAGGGCAGAGAGAAACGGGGGAACAGGGTGATGCGACAGGTGGTCTCTGCGCTATCCGCACCCGTGTGGGCCAGTCGATGATTTCGATCTCCCGCCCTGCATGCACACAAGGGGTGAGTGATAAAGGTGAACGAGAATGAGCCAAGAAAGCTTCTTAGTCAAACGACAAGCGACGAGCTACATCAAAGCCATGTGGGCCAGTCAATGCTCTCCTTCCTCCATCCGCCCTATCCACACGCTCGTGGGCCAGTTGATGATATCGACCTCCCGCCCTGCATGCACACAAGGGGTGAGATGGGGTTACGAGAGGGAACACGAGGTTGAGGGGGGAAGGGGTGATGAGATCATGAGACACCTTCACACACAAGGGGCGAGTGACTGAGAGAGGTAAACGGGAATGAGCCAGTCAAGGCCAGTCAAGAGATGAGCCACATAAAAGCAAGAGGGCCAGTCAATGATATCAACCTCCCACCCTGCATGCACACCAGGGGTGAGTGAGTGAGAGAAAGGCAAACGAGGATGAGCCACGTGATTGAAGAAGTGTTTTGAGACATCTCAAAACATTTCTTCAATCACCAGAAAGGCAAACGAGGATGAGCCAATAACGAGGATGAATACAAGGGGTTAGTCAAGCGACAAACGACGAGCTGAACCAGAGCCATGTGGGCCAGTCAATGCTTTTTTTCCTCCATCCGCCCTGATGCATGTGATGAGAGGGGAGGACGAGGGGGTGAGGGGAAAAGCTGATACTCACGTGCATGTGTGCGGATGCATGTGTGCGGATGCATGTGTGCGGATGCATGTGTGCGGATGCATGTGTGCGGAGATGAGACTCACAGCGGAACAGCCGGTCGCCCAGGCTACCGTTGGGGGAGAGCCCATACAACAGCAGCGCCTCGCCCTTCTCGGCACAGCAGGCATCATGTATGCATGTGTGTATGATACATGATACATGTAGCCAAACGAGTTCACTCACGGGGAAACAATTGGTCGTCCAAGCTGTTGTTGGGGCACAGCCCGTACACCAGCAGCGCGCACCAGTACGTGTGTGGAGGTGTGTGGCTCATGTGTGCACGTGTGCATGCACTATCAATACGGCACGGGTAATACATGAAACTTACAGGGAAACAGGCCGTCGTCCAGGCTGCCGTTGGGGCAGAGCCCATACACCAGCAGCGCCTCGCCACTGGTATGTGCGCAGGAGTACATGTGTGTGTACAGCATACATGTAGGCATAGCAGCGCACTCACGGGGGAACAGGCCGTCGTCCAGGCTGCCATTTGGGGCAGAGCCCATACACCAGCAGGGCCCTCACTCATCTCTAATATGTGCACATGCAGTGCATGTACACATACACTGAATGCTGGCATGTGCTTCAAAGCCATTAGGCAGGGAAGCTGCGCACTCACGGGGGAATAGGCGGTCGTCCAGGCTGCCATTAGGGCAGAGCCCATACACCAGCAGCGCCTCACCCTTCTCTGCACAGTAGCCTATGAGCTCCACCAGATTGGGATGGTGCAGCTTCCTCAGCAGCACTATCTCCGCCTGTGGGGGAGAGGAGAGGGCGGAAGGGGTGGGAGATATGAAGAGGAGAAGAGAAAGGAACGACGTCTGAGAGTTGCGGTAGCCTATGAGCTCCACCAGATTGGGAGCAGCTTCCTCAGCAGCACTATCTCCGCCTGTGGGGGAGGAGTGGGGTCAAAGGAGAGAGCTCACTCCCTCACGGGCCTCCCGTGAAAGAGCTCACTCAAGGGGAAAAGGGGGGTCCCTCGCCCTTGAGGGTCTCATGATTGTTGCTGAGATGGGAGATCACATCAGAGCTCCCTAACAGGCTCCAGACAATATCAATCTAAAATTCACACCAACCCCCCCTTTCCCTCACACCAACCCCTCACCTCTCCACCCACTCACCAGCCATTCATCATGCCCCTGAGAACTCTCCGAATTCGGTTTCTTCACTGCCACTTCCACCACCTCGTTGCTCTCCTTCCCCAGATACTCCTCCCAAAGCTGCCATGCCCCATAGGGCCCCCCCTAATCCCATCCCATCCCACTCACCAGCCATTCGTCCAGCCCCTGTGAACTTTCTGGGTTGAGTTTTTTCACCGCCACTTCCACCACCTCCTTGCTCTCCTTCCCCCCCAGCTTCCTCAAATACACCCTATTCCCCTCACTCACTCACCATGCATTCCCATCACACACCTTCTCTCCCCGCTCACCAGCCATTCGTCCAGCCCCTGAGAACTCTCCGGATTCAGCTTTTTCACCGCCACTTACACCACCTCCTTGCTCTCCTTCCCGCCCAGCTTCCCTGCAGTTATTATCCAGGCGTCAAAAACAACCCCCATTCACTCACCAGCCATTCGTCCAGCCCTTGTGAGCTCTCCGGATTCAGCTTTTTCACCGCCACTTCCACCACCTCCTTGCTCTCCTTCCCGCCCAGCTTCCCCAGATACACCTCCCCGAAGCTGCCCCGCCCCAGCACCGCCTTCTTGCTAAAAGACGATGTCGCCGCCCGCAGCTCGTGCAGCCGGAACTTGCGGGCGGTGCCCCGCCCGTCCTTGGGATCAGAGGACGTCGACTGGGTGGCGGAAAGGCCGGCAGAGTTGGTGGAGGTGGCATCTGGGGGAGTTAAGGTTGGGGGGTCGAGGGGGGGAAAGGGCAGCAGAGTTGGTGGAGGTGGTATCTGAGGCGGTTTGTTTGAATCCCGGGTTCCCTGTGACTGTGGGGGCACACATTGGTTTGAATCTCCGTCCCTGGGCTCGGAGGACGTTGTTGGCTGGGCGGCGGAAAAGGTCGGCTGAGTTGGTGAAGGTGGCATCTGAGGTGGGTGGTTCTGGCCTTCGGTTCCCTGTGGGGACAGGGGGGTTGACGTTGGGAGACAGGGGGGGAAGGGGGGGAAGAGGGGGAAGAGGGGGAAGAGGGGGAAGAGGGGGAAGAAGGGGAAGAGGGGGAAGAGGGGGAAGAGGGGGAAGAGGGGGAAGAAGGGGAAGAGGGGGAAGAGGGGGAAGAGGGGGAAGAGAAGGAAGAGGGGGAAAGCAAGGCGGCAGGGGAGGAGAAAAGGCTAGCTAGTTAAGGCGTCTTAGAAGGGGAGTTGGGACAAGAGGATACTGAGAAGAGGGGAATGGTTTTGAATAAGGGTTTTGAGTCGACTAGAAAAACGTCGACTCAAAACGCACCTTAACAGGGGAGGGGAGTTGGAACAAGAGGATAGTGACGAGCTGGGAATGGTTCTAAATTAGGGTTTCTGTGCGAAACCACTCTGGGGGGCAGGTGGTGGGAAGGGGCAGGGGAGGGGGGAGGGGAGGGGGGAGGGGAGGGGGGAGGGGAGGGGGGAGGGGAGGGGAGGGGGGAGGGGAGGGGGGGAGGGGAGGGGAGGGGGGAGGGGAGGGGGGAGGGGAGGGGGGAAAGGTAAAGAAGGGGTGGGGTGTGTTTGAGACACCTGGGTGGGAAAGAGTTGGTGGAAGGAAGTGGGTTCAGGGGTGGTTGGTGCAGTAGACCACGTTGAAAAAAAGGGAGGGGGTGACGAGAGGGGAAGGGGGATTGATGGTCTTTTTTGAGATTTCTCAAATTGCATCTGCAACAAAATGGCTGGTCCATTCGAAGCCTGCGGGGAGGAACTGTGCCAGACAGACCAACGTCGAAAAAGGGTGGTGTTGGGGATGGGAGGGGAAGGGGATTGTGCCAGAGCAACGTAGAATTAGTTCGCTCTTAGTAGGCTTGCTGCGGATCGAAACCAACTAATCTCAGCCTGCGGGGAGGGACTGTGACAGACCAACGACGAAAAAGAGGCGGTGTTGGGGGCCGGAGGGGAATGGGGGTTGAGGGAGGGAAAATGGTGGGGGAAGAGAGAAGGAAAAACAAGGGGGAGCGTGGGGGGAGGGGAAGAGGAGAGGGGTGATGGGCACGTGGGTGGGAAGGGTGGAAAGGTGGGGGCAGGCAGAGCAGCCCTCCTAGCTGTTGCAACACCACCTGCGTGCCCTACAGACACGCGCTGCGGTGCTGCCAAGTTGCCACCTCCCCCATACCCAGGTGTGTTTAGAGCCGATCAGAGCACACCAAGGGGGACGGGGGAGGGAGCAGAGCAGCCATTAGCCTCTCCCTACCTGATGGGACACCATCTGCTTGCTCCACAGTCACGCGCTGCGGTGCTGCCAAGCTGCCCGCCCCGCCATACGGTACCCACGTGTGTTTAGAGTCGATCGGAGCACACCGAGGGGGGCGGGGAGGGAGCAGAGCAGCCATTAGTCCCTACCTACCTGATGGGACACCACCTGCTTGCTGCTCCACAGGCACGCTCTGCGCTGCTGTGCTGCCACGTTTTGAGGCGCCTCAAAAGCCAGTAGCCCCTCCCTACCTGATGCAACACCATCTGCTTGCTCCACAGGCTCGCTCTGCAGTGCTGTGCTGCCAAGCCACCGCCTGCGCAGCACCCTGGTGTGCTTCAGTCAAGGTAAAGCACACTTCAGAGGGAACAACAAGCCAGCCATTAGGTGACTTTTGAGTCGACTCAAAAGTCTCCAGAGGAGAGCAACACGCCAGCCATAGTCCCTCTCTCCCTACCTGATGGGACACCAGCTGTTTGCTCCACAGGCACGCTCTGCGGTGCTGCCAAGTTGCCACCTCCGCCGTACCCGTCCCCTCCTCCCCCTCTCCCATTCCCCCTCCCTACCGCCCCCCCTTGCCTCTCCGCTCCCCGTCCCCACCCTCCTTCCCCTCCCTCCCCTCCGCCCCCTCTCCCCCCGCCGCTAGACACGGCCTTCGCTCCGCCAACTCCGCTCCCCACCCTTTTCCCCCTCCCCGCGCCCCTTCTAAACTTCCCCCCTCCACCCGCCACCCCTCCGCCCCCTGCTCCGTTACCCTCCGCCTCGCTCCCATCCCCAGCTTCCCTCGGCGTTCGTGGCGAAAACCCTGTCGCGTAACGCTGGTTACCACCAGGGGTGGAAACGACGGAATGAGCGCGGGATCTGGGCGTGGTGGATGTGACGTTACCGAAGGGCGAACTGGGCGCGCTCTCTGCAATCACCTCCACCGATAAGCACCCTCCCATTCCCCTGTTAGGTCAAACCGCCGACCCCGCCGCCGCTGCCGCTGCCGCTGCTCCTTCTGTGTCTGTTGCTGCTGCTCTTGCTCCTAACGAACAAGGAGGGCAGAAATGTTCGAGCTGTTGACGGATAGAAGACGCGGCTGGTTCGTTAAAAGGGCTTCCGTTTGTAGATTATCGAAACGACAACTAATGACACGGCATTTGAACACGGAGCATGATCAGTCGGCGTTGAGAGCGAACTCCGTGATGCCGTAGGAGACCCATGATTATGCGGACCCATGAACTACGTCGGCCCATCAGTTGGCGAACCAATTAGAATGCGAAACAGGTTACCAGAGTCGTCGAACAGGAGGGCTCGCTTAGCCCACGATGCGGGCCTATGCGGTCACATACACGAACGCGGTGCTCGAGAATTCCCTAAGAGGACTCACAAGCGACGATTTTTACCTATTCAGCCACGCCGCCTGGAGGTTGTGATGGTAACGGAAGGGCCATTGGGAATAATGGTAGGGAACTCCTGCTGGTAGGGAGCAGCGCCAAAGGCTCCAAGCCCTGTCGGCAATGTGTTTCACGATAATAAGAGGGTACGAATGCAGGAGCGGAAAGAGAGCGCTCCGAGGGAACCCTCAGCTTACCAAACTCGGGGTGACTAGTATGTGTAATCGCTACACAGACTACGCGAGAGGCTGATAGCTCTGGACGTGCGAAACGATTCAGACGAGTCTCGCGTTCGTAATGGAAAATGGGGTTTCTATGTAGGGAAAGGACGAAGTGCATGAACCAGAACGTGGTGGTGGTGGTAAGTACGACCAGTCGTAAAATGGCTGATGTACAGTAAACTGATGCTAGGGTGTACTTTCCCTGATGCGAGAAAAATGGAAGGTTGTGAAGCGTTGTTAAATCCAAAACAGGGTTCGAGTGGGTTCAGTGCGTTTCTGAAATGTTTCGCAGGAGTGTCTTCAAATAAACCACCAATCTCCAACCAGCGCCAGTGGAACTCAACAACCTCACTACATTTCAGTTCAACAAGACTGACTACTGCTCTTGACCGTACTCCAATGTTCTGTACCGAATATAAAGGCCTGAGTCTCTGTGCCGCCCACAACTAGGTCGAGGTGGAGTGGAGTCACTTCATCCGCACCTGTTCGCCACTTTCGCCAAAGCCGGCAAGTGACACAAACGCAGCGAGCAGCTGGGCGTGTAAATGCTTTCTAAACTAATCAATTGAATCTGCATCTCTCAAACCCTACAACTGTCAAATGCCGAAAACTCTTACAGCGGAGCACGTTCAGAAAACCCTGCTTGCGTAAACCCCGTAACGACTGCGACCAATTACAAATCTTCGTTTTCGCGTGTAACCCAAGCCACCCACCAAGTGAGTCCCCCAGGTCCTTGCTGAGTCAATGCATACAACATCCACGTCAACGAAAACAAAGTAACCCAGAAACACCTCGTCAGATAGCCGGGAAATCGCGGAACGGAACTTTCGTGCAAAGTTTCGGACTGTCGTGAATTTCAGGAGCAAAACCATGGCTGGAAACATTTCCAGGGAATAGTGCTGATACTAGCATAGTAGTAGCAGGAGCCGCGCGTCGGCCATGTTATAAAAGGCTACTAACACGTGGGTACTGAGCATCAGTGTGTCACTCGTTGACTCCTGCCAGCATGTAAGGTCAGAACGATACACATTTTCCAAGTCTTATTTCTCACCAGCTTCTTAGTTACACGTAGCTGTTTTTTTCGCCTCCTCTTAGAAATCGAGCCGCATTCACACCGAAACGCCGGAAGCCATGGCTCTTCAACAGCGCCTCGGTCGTTCATGCGACGCCACTCGTTCTCCCAGCAACCTCCGCCGTGTGAGACGGATACGAAGCGCCGCAACTGCCGGCCAGACTGGATCCTCCTCAATCCACACGGGAGAGGGGACAGAGCGGCAGACGCGGCGCGAATGGCGGCGGAAGAATCGGGTTATTGGCGGCCCCAGTGACTCCAGCCTCCGAAAGCATCACGAATCACGCGAGGAACGCGGCGGAAACGGCGGAGGGGAGACAGGCGCACATACAATCAACTCTGGATGTGACAATATTGAGTGTGACGGAAGCGGCGGTTGCGGCAGTAGCGACGGGGCCGACGTGGAGCCGAGCGGTGCGTCCGATGATCTGGGAGGCGGCCCAGCCTCGGAATCCGACCCAGCTGGTGGAGAATCAAATCCCGAATCAAACCCGCGAAGTGGAGGAGAATCAAATCCTTCGAAGCGCTGCACCTGGAGCGGGTGTTCGAGCTCACGCCCCTGCTGTATCGGCTGTAGCGGCGGCTGTAGCGTCTCCCCTTCGCGGCACTCTCCCAGGAGAAGCTACTTCCCAATCCAGCTCGCACGCTACAGATGTGCCAACCTCCTCATGCACAAGGGAAGCAGACGCTACATCCGCCTCTGGTGCCACAACCGGCGCTGGAGCTACATCCGCCCCTCTTGCTACAGCCGCCACTGCTGCTACAGCCGCAGCAGCATCACATGCTGACTTCATCATTCGTGCCGTGGCGCCGTCCGCTGGCGTCGCCCTCTGGGAGGCCCTCAGGCGCGCTACAGATGCTGCTGCCACGGCTGTAGCCTCCCTGCACACGTGGCAAGCGGCGGACTGCGCTGACGTGGACGAGACCTGCAGCAGAGATTTCTGGGCGACGATTGCGGCGGATGATGCAGCAGCAGAAGAGGATTGGATACTGGCCGTTGATTCTCTTGGTTTATGGTGGCTCTTCGGGCACTCGGTTACGAACATCGTCGGCAGCGAGACACTGACTTTATCAGAGGATGAGATCTCCGACCTCGATTTGAGCAAGGAATCTAATCTGGAGATTCCAGGCAATGCCGTTGATGATGAGGGTGTGATTGTAACTGAAGCATCTGCTGCTGAGCAGCAGGAACAGCGGGGACAGCAGGATGGCTGCACTTCTGACACGCACAGAGAAGAGGGACCCGAAGGGTGCTATGCCGTGCGTGTATTTGTGTCCGAGTTTGAAGCCCGAGCGCCGTTCCTGCACTTCTCTCTGTCAGAACATGCCGCCCGGGTCGCCTCCTCACCTAATGCGGGCGGCGCTTCCGTTATTTCTGAGGTGAGTCTTTCCTTGCAATCTCATGTGCATCACTCGCTGTCTCGTGCTTTGTTTTCTAGTTAATAACAGTACCACCCTCTTTCGCCTATTCTCCTCCTCTGCAGTCACTTTCCGTGGAGTATTTCGTGCGACACTTCGGCGCAACTGACATAATTTCAGAAATGGAGGTAAGAAACACATATTCTGTGCACCTGCTCCTGCTTTTCACTCTCTGTCTCGCTTCCAAAACCGATACAAACAATCTGCTGGTTTGATTTCATGGCAGATCAAGTACTGCGACAGCAACTGGAAGAAGGTGGATTACATCTGCAGCTTGTTTGGGCAGCGCTTTGGAGTGTCCGTCACTCGAGCCATGATGTACCCTGACCCTGCTCTCTTCGACTGCCACCGCGCTCGTGCCCTGCTCAGGAAGAAGCTGCACGGGCTGGTAAGTGATAAGTGATAAGGCTTGTGTTTTTAAAACTGCCATTTTCTCTATTTGTTGGCACCTTGTCTGCAACTTTTGCGTGTACTCCTCGTCTCTTGAAGCTGATGCAATTGTGCTGGTTGTGAGGTGTGCAGGTGGTGGCATGGTCGGGCATCTCTCCCATGCACTGCTTCTCTCGAGCCATTCTCCACGTATGGTGTGAAACTGCACATATAGCCAACCTTCTGCAAGACATATTTCCAGGCAAGAACCACGAAGTTTTTTTTTTTTTTTTTTTTTTTTTTTTTTTCCGTTGTCTTTTCATTTTCATTGTTGAGCTTTCCCTCATCGTGCTTTACTCTGTCAAACTTGATATTTGCAGAGGTTTCAAGCTTATTGGATATGCAAGAAGACGTGCTGATGGTGCTGACTGTTGCCGAAGGCCATCAAGGCTGGCCTATCTTCTATGAGTCATTGTATAAGGTATCTGAAAGGTCAAGGGATGAAGGGGAAAGGGGTTCATGGGTGCACCATGCACATCATCCTTGGTTTGGAATAAATATGAAGACTTGTGTCAGGGCTGTGTAGATGGAGTGTATACCTATATTTCTGTCATCTAACACTATCCGGATGTCTGTGCAGCGAGGTGTGCAAGAACTCCGATGATATCCTAGGAATATCTACTTTGCGTATTATTGTTTCCACAAGTGTGGGCTTTCCATGGCGATTAGTGCACGCACATTGCATCATGCAGTATTGAGTCTTCTGTCGTGCTTGCTCAGCGAGACATTATTCCACGTGCATTCGACTGCACCTGACGGTTCCTCTTACCCAGTCAGCATCACATTGACCAATTGCCATGCCGTTCGCCATCAGTAACCCAGTCACCTTGCAAAAGCATTGCCAATCAGGGCACAATGTTCCGGCGCGCTTTGCTAATTTATTCCCTATCGCCGCGCGTCAATTTCAGACCCCGCTAGGGAGTTGATTCCCTTCGGCAGATGCTCCAGCCCCAGATGCACGTCGAAGTGCACGTACGTGAGCACCGTGTTAACGCATTTCGCCGTGGTAAAACGCTCTGTACCGTTAAATATTTATGTGAAACCCTTCCCGATCAGCTAGAGTTGAATCTGGGATTTGGGGCAAGCTGAGGATTCAAAACTGAACAGCGAGCCCACACTTGCTTTTCAATCCCGACTGTGGGGATACGGCGGCGGTGCAAAGCGCAAAGCTAGATTGTTCTCGAACGAAGGACGTTCGAGCTACAAACCCTCAGAGTTTTCTCCGAAGCTTCAGAAACGTAGGCTCGTCAGCAGACGTAGATCTTCGTTCAAAGGAGAACGAGCTTAGCATAAGCCCTGTTTCGTCAGCAAGAAGCCCGAGTTCGTCCGCGAGTACTCGAGACGATCGTTCCAGCCTGCCGACCGCTTTTCCCTTCATTCACTGCTCAGAAGAAACCTTGTCGCCGTCCTACCCTGTCGAACGTCTTTCCCATGGGCTTAATGGAACTTGTGGAGCCGATAGCGCTTGTGTGTCTGCGTCTGAGCATGCAGATTTGGAGCAAATTGAACAGAGGGGTAAAGGAGTGGGGGACAGAGAGTGGGAAGGAGGTGGGAAAGTGACTGTACAGGAGGGTCGTGTATATAAAGAGATTGTAGACGAGACTAGACTAGGCGAAGGGAGTGTACAGGCAGAGGCGGTTTTCCTGAGTGAGTTCGAAGCGCGGGCCCCGTTTGTCGACTTCACTCTATCGGAAGACGCTGTCAGGGTTGCTTCCTCCCCAAATGCTGGAGGCGCGTCCGTCATTTCCGAGGTGAGGAAATACCTTGATTTTTGCTTCTTGAATCACGTCTCTCTTTGAACATACCATTTGGCAAAACCAGAATGCTTCGTACGTTTGTTAATCCTAGATAGAACATATTTTGGCGCAATAAATTATCTCACACCACCCCACTTCCCAGTCCCTTTCAGTGGAGTACTTTGTGCGCCATTTCGGTGCATCTGGCATAATTTCAGAGATGGAGGTACGAGGAATTATGAAATTGGGTTGGGAACGATATTCGTGAAATTTTGAAAATTGAAGAAATCAAGTTACATGCTAGGACAGAATCCCTCCGTCATACATCTCGTTCCCTAGATTCTGTCCCACGCACATTATGACAGTCTTTGTTCTCGATATCTCAGGTGCAGTACTGCGACAGCAACTGGAAGAAGGTGGATTACATCTGCAGCTTGTTTGGGCAGCGCTTTGGAGTGTCCGTCACTCGAGCCATGATGTACCCTGACCCTGGTCGATTTGACTACGACCATGCAAAGGCCCTTCTCAGAAAGAAGCTGCATGGGCTGGTAAGTTCTGCAGCTGTTCTCCCATGACACGTGTGCTTACAGCATGCATCTCTGCAACCTTTCCTCTCCCTTCTGTAATTTGTTTCCCTTGTGCACTTTCCCCGCTGCCATGCTGCATGGCTCTACTTCTAGGTGGTGGCATGGTCAGGAGTATCGCCCATGCACTGCTTCTCTCGCGCTATCCTTCACGTTTGGTGTGAGACCCCGCACATCGCCAACCTCCTACACCAGGCCTTCCCATGTATGCCACGAATCCTCGTACATCTTTCTTTACCCAACTCTGCTGCTGGTGGTTCAGTTGTTTCCTGTACTTCGCAGCGTGCTTATTTGTGCAAGTATGTTGTTTCCGTACGTCCTGCTGCAAATTTTACTTGTTAATCTATGTTCATTTCCTTCCTGTGTCCTCCTTGCGTTTGAGTCAGCTGTGTGCAGAGAGCTTGACCTTCAAGAGGACGTGCTAATCGTTCTAACGGTTGCAGAGGGGAACCATGGCCTATATTCTACGAGTCTGTATATACCCACTCGATCATATCCCACTCTGCAGATTGGAGCGTTCCATGTGAAACAGATGAAACAGGTGAGGATCTATCATATGGCTCTATATCATATTGTATTAAATTGTATATTTTGTGGTGGTTATATAATGTTAAATACGTGTGATGTCGTTACACATGAATTTGACCCATGTGTGATCATAACAAGCGCATTCCAAATATGCAGGTACTTTGTGGATTGGTAATTGGCAGACACATGTTTAAAGCCTGCTATTTGTATGCATGATACATGGATGGTGGTGAAGGTAGCAAAGAGGTGCTGTTACGAGTGCAATGGAGTGAGCGAGTGAGGATTGCACTATCGAAGCAAGAGTACAATGAGCGAAGGAATGGGCGAAGAATATATAGCGAAACTACAGTGGTAACGGTAATGTGTGGAGAATGGGGTGCGCGACGGGCCTAGTGCCGAGGTTGGGAATTGTCGAGGCGGAGGTCCGGAGCGCGAGTTACCAACCGAACCATGAGGTTGGGTCGCGTCGTGAACAGTAGCGGGAATAGTGTCGAGGCGAATGTCGCGAATGGTAACGGATTATTGTTGGGTGCTGTTGGCGGGAAACAGTGGTGTACGCGCTGAGCAGGGAAGCGAAGTAAGGAAAAGGAATATTCCTTATACTACCCCCCCCCCTCTAAGGAGGCCCTCCTTACAAAAGCGCGAATACATCTCGGAAATGTCGGCTGCGCAGATACTCGGTGAGGACGGGGTGGTTTTTGTTGGGCTGAGTGCCCCTTAGGATCTTTGGTAGGGTTAAACTCTGGGTAGAGTGATGTAGTAGCGGAAGCGTTTAAATGAAGTCCTTGAACCACCTTGCGCTGGTATGTGAGGGCAAAGTAAGTTGATTAAAACAAGCAAGTACAAAGGTTTATATAAGAGTACAAAGAATACGAAGAGATATAATTAAACTGTTTTACTGTTGCGGTTCGATACAGTGCGACTCGGGCAACTGCTCAATGTCGAGTCAGTTGTGTGTCCTTGCTGTCGCGCTGCATTTGTCAAGTCAAAGGTCGCTGACCTTTGACTTTCGCGTAACCTCCAGCGGTTACTTCAACCTCCGAGGGTTGACTCGCTGGTGCCTCGATATGCTCTGCTTCGCTTGTGCCTTGGTGTTTCGACACGACAGAGGCGCTTAAGATTGTTTGTTCCCAACACTCCCCTTCGCTTCTGGAGTGTCGCTGCTGGTGACGTGGCTTTGTCCAGTCAGCAGCATGCAGTACTCGAACTTCTGTTTTCCGAGCTTCTTGGTCAAGTAGTCAGCTGCCATCTCGGACGTGGGACAGTAGGATAGTTCAAGTCTCCCCTTCTCAATCTCGTCTTTCACGAAGAAATATCGCAGAGCGATATGCTTCGTTCTGTTCGCGAATCCATTTTTGTTGGCGATGCGAATTGCAGATTGGTTGTCGCAGAACAGAGTGAAGTTGGGTAACTCGGCTAACTTCGCTTCTTCCAGCAGCTCGCGAAGATAGAGTCCTTCCTTGGTGGCTGAGCAGAGTGCAATATATTCTGCTTCAGCTGACGAGAGAGCAATTAATTCCTGCTTGCTCGATTGCCAGGAGATCGGTCTGATAGGTTCGAGGCGGTAGATGTAGCCGGTGCGGGAGCGCCTGTTGTCGGAGTCGCCAGCGTGATCAGCGTCGACGTAGCCGATTAATTTAGTCAATGTAGTTGTGTTCTTGTAGTAAGTTAGGCCGATCGTTGAGGTACTGACGAAGTAGTGGAGAGCGCGGTCGAGCTCCGCCAGGTGTTCTGCTTCAGGCTTCTTGAGGTAGGTGGCGAGCTGGCTTGCGGAGTATGAGAGGTCGGGGCGGCAGGTGACAGCTGCGAAGAGAAGGCATCCTAGCTTTCTCTGGTAGTCGCGTATCCCGGCGGATTTGAGTAGAGAGGATCCTTCCTTGTGGTTTCCTGTCGCGTAGCGGTAGGGCGTAGAGATGGTGGTAGGTGTGAGCGCGAAGCGTTTGGCGATGGTGTCGGCGTACTTAGCGGCGTTGAGGTAGATCGCGCCTTCTTCTTCCCGAATGTTCAAGCCGAGGTACTGTGTGACGGTAGAGGAGACTGTGAGTGTGAGGTCCCTCTGTAGCTCCCCTTCGAACCAGGTGGTGATGTCGTCAGTGGAGCCGATGTAGAGTAGGTCGTCTACGTAGACGATTAGCAGAATGTAGTCGGTGTCTTTAGTGAGTCGGTACATTCCTTGGTCGTGAGGTAGTTGGCGGAATCCGATGCGAATGAGGCGAGCGTGTAGGTACTGTTGCCATAGCCGCGGAGCTTGCTTGATCCCGTAAAGTGATTTCAGCAGTTGACATACTTGGTTAGGTTCCCCGTTGGTACCGTGTGGGAGCTCGACGAAGATTTCCATGTCGACAGGTGCGTAGAGGAACGCGTTGGCGACATCGATTTGCCGTAGCTTCCTTTTCTTCATGGCGGCGATCGCGAGGAGGATTCGAAGTGAGGTATGTCGGCTAACCGGGGCGAATGTCTCGGTGAAGTCCCGTCCGTGCTCCTGATCGAATCCACGCACAACCCAGCGTGCTTTGAACTTCTCAATTGTGCCGTCTGCTTTTGTTTTAACGCGGAAGACCCATTTCCCGGTGAGAATGGTCTTGTTCCTTGCCACGCTGATGGGGACAACTTTCCAGGTGTTCCGTTCCTCCAGCGCCTTTAACTCTCTGTCCATGGCTTCACGCCATTTTTCCCTGTGTTCCCCCCCCAGAGCCTGCTGAACCGTCGCATGCTCCTTAGGAAGAGTGTTGCCGTGGACTGCGGTGACGAGTCCGAGAATCTGCAGTCCAGTCTGTGAGTAGCGGGGAAGAGTTGCATCCTCGGGATAAGCTGCTTCATCTCCCACTTCTGGATCAGGTATGAAATTCGGTCCTACTCGTTCTGCTTCGTTGGTGTTGACTGTCGCAGGTGTTACGTAACCGTTGTCGGCGAAGTAGTAGAAGGTTTTGGCGTTGACACTTTCGCGAGGGTTATCTTCGTCCATGGGGACGTCGACGGAGCAGAACGGAAGGGGTCCAGCTTCTTCTGATGCGTTGGCCACATTCTGCTCGTCCCAGTCAGCTTCGTCTGCTGCCGAGGCGAAGGCTCGGTCACCACGAAAACCACCTGTGGGATCTTGGTCCTCTTGCAGGTTGGCAAGGTATGTCTGGAGCGTGAGTCGTTCGTAGAAAATGACGTCGCGTGCTGCTACTGTTTCCTTGGAGTGGACGTCAAAGATTTTCCACGCGTTGTAGTTCTTTTCGATGCCGAGGTGTAGTCCCCACTGTGCGCGTTGTGAAAATCGGCCCGCTCGTGCTGCTGGGGGTCGGTACTGTACCATGCATCCGAACACTCGTAACATTTTTGTGCTGCCCTGTTTTCCTGTCCACAGCAGATGCGGTGATGCGTTGTTCGGTAGTGATGAAGATGAGAGCAAGTTGTGCAGCATGACAGCGTGGTCCATCGCGTCAGGCCACTGGTGGTTGGGTAGCCGCATGCCACGCAACAGTTTGCGCATGCTGTTCTGCAGAGTCCTGTTCATTCTTTCTGCTACACCTTGCTGCTGATGGGCGTAGGGAAGAGAGAGGAGCTGCTTGATTCCCCTTTCCGCCAGGTACTGCTTGAATCGCTGAGAGGTGTATTCTCCTCCTCCGTCAGACTGGAAGCTTTTCAGCTTTACGCCCGACTCTCTTTCTGCTACTGGTAGCCAAGAAGCGAATGCTTCGAGGACCATGTCGTGGCTGGGTAGGTTTAGATGCCAGACGTAACGGGTGGCGGCGTCGATGAAGGTGATTGTGTAGTTGTATATTACTTGTCCTGGTTCCCGATTGTACAGGATGTCGCTATACACCTTTTCGAGTGGTGCGTACGCGGGTGTGCTCGGGTTGTGATGAGGAGTGAACGGCCGATGTGGTAAGTCGGCTTCGGGGCAGGTAAGACATGTTCCTCGTGCCCGTTGAAGTTCTCTGCCGTCGAGTAGTAGTAACGAGTCCTTGTCAAGGACTCCTGCTCTTATTGTGTTGTTTAACACAGTGTTGCTTGGGTGTCCCATGCGTGCGTGCCAGATGTCTTCGGAGGCGCGGTGTCCGGGTGAGCGTCGATACGCGTCGGAGTTGGAGTAGAAGCTGGCGGTGAAGTTTGCGCTTCTATGGACTTCCCGTTGAGCCGGATTCAGCTGCTGTGCGGGTGTTGGTGGTGCTTCGTCAACGAGGAGTGGTGTCGTTGTTGCTGCTACTGTTGTTGTTCCTGCTACTGCCGATGATGTCTCTGCTGCTGCCGATGATGTCTCTGCTGCTGCCGATGTTGTCTCTGCTGCTGCCGATGTTGTCTCTGCTGCTGCCGATGTTGTCTCTGCTGCTGCCGATGTTGTCTCTGCTGCTGCCGATGTTGTCTCTGTTGCTGCCGATGTTGTCTCTGCTGCTGCCGAATGTTGTATTGTTACTAACGCACGTGTTCGTTCTGCTTCAGGAATGGTATGTGAATACCAAAAGCCTTCCGGACTGAAGTCGGGGTCGAGATCCGGCGGGTGCGTCCAAGATGTGAAGGTGACGATCCCGTCACTGTCTGCGGTGCCCAGGTCTGGGACGAAATCGAGAACGAAGACATTGTTCTTCGGGACCGCCTTTCCGATGTAGAGGCCGCCCTTCCCGTGGTACAGCTTGAACTCCTGGGTGGTACTGTCGGCTTCCAGATGTATGCCTTTCGCCATCAACTGAC